AGGAGCAACGAGCTCCTTATAAATCCTACGCGAGAGCGGCAACGTCCGCTGTGTGCCCCTGCAGGCGCGCTCAAAGTCCAGGTAGCTACCGCCGCGGCCATGCCATCGGTATCCAGCCAGTCGATGGAGACTCACTCCGAAGTGATCTGGCCAGAGCCCCAGTGGATCACTTCTCCTTGGCCCACGACTGCGTCTCGAAAGCAGCCTTGATATTCTTCATCCACGATGTCATGTAGTTGACAGCCGTCTTAACCTCCTCCTCCCTGACGTCTGGGACGACCTCCTCGTCCTCCAGGCACTTGTTGCAATGCTCCACAACATCATTCAGAAACTTCTGCCTTTTGGTGGCCTCCTCAGTGTACGTCGTCGGCGCCTGAAATGAGAGGGGGCGACTCCCCCCTCCTCCTCCTTCTCCTCCTCCTCCTCCTCCTCTTCCTTCTCCTCCTCCTCTGCCTCCTCCTCCGCCTCCTCCTCCTCCTCCTCCGCCTCCTCCTCCCCCCCCTCCCCATCGTCAGATCCGATCTGACTCCGTCGCCTTCTTCGCGCGCTCATCGCGCAGAAGATCCCCCGTCTTCTTCAGCAATGGCTTCACCGCCAACAGCGCCTTGTTAACGGTCTGCAAGCCCTTGGTGCGCTTCTTCTGTTCCTGCCTTTTGCGGGCTGCCTCCTCTTTGGCCATCTCCCTGTCCATGGTTTTCTGAATCTTCTCAGCCTCGCGGGCCGCCTTCTTCTCTGCTGCGAGCTTCGCCTTGCGCTTGGCCGCAAGCTCCTTTGGGCTGAGGCCCGCGTCAGACCCTGAAAGCTCTTCCTCGTCATCGTGCTTGCCCTTCTTGTTCTTCTTGTCCTTCTTGCCTTTCTTGCCCTTCTTTCCCTTCTTGCTTTCTTACCCTTATTGCCCTTCTTCTTTTTCTTTTTCTTGTCGGAGCTCGAGGAGCTGGAGCTGCTGCTGCTGTCGCTGCTGCTGCTGCTGCGCTGGCGCTTCTTTGAGCCATTCTGCTTCGGCAGCTCCGCTGGAGCCTCCTCGAGCGCCGCTGCTGCTCCTGCCGCTGTTGCGCTCTGCGGCTTTTCAGCTGCCTCGGCAGCCTCCAGGAAGGCTGACGCTCTGCGCTTGCGATTGCTGCCAACTTTTCTAGCTATCTCCTGCATGATGACCTCCTTGATCCTGGCCTCCGAGATCTCGTGGATCTGAACCCGGTACGTCTTCCCGAGAACTGGATGATCCTCGATGTCAGTAGCCTGTGTTTTCTCCTCAATATATTTCGTGTTGTATCCCAGCTTCTCGTGCACAGACAAGGGCAGGAATTGCCCAGCGTGGGTCTCCGTGATGCGCTTCATGCGCACATTCATCAGCATCCCCTTCATCGCGTCGCGGCAAGCAGCAGCGGCTGACCCGCAATTCTGGTAGAAGTGATCCTTTCCTCCGTGGCGAGCTCGTCGAACTCCGCAATCGGCCACCCGCCGAAAATCCTTCGAAGTGTTTGGTCGCGTACCCTGCACGCGGCACACGCGATGACCGCGCCGCCATGGGTGATCTTACAATCCTGTGCAAGCGGATTCGTTTCCTTCTTGCACATGGAGCATTTCGGGTCGCCCTGCGAGAGCAGGGCCTCAACCTCTTCCCCCCTCTTGTCGTCGTCCGACAGCTGCTCCACTGGCACGTCCTCATCTTCAGCCTCCTCGCCCGCCTCCTCTCCAGCCTCTTCCTTTGTTGCCTCTTTGTCAGGCAGGGTGGCCCTTGTTGCCTCTTTGCCAGGCTTTGTCGCCTCCTTGGTTGCCTCGGGCTGGGGCGGACAGGGCGGGCGGGCGTCGTTCGGGGATTCTGCTGGCGCGACCTCGGGAGCGCGGGCGACGGGCGCGTCGGCGGGTTCGCCGACAGGCTCGCCTGCTGCTGGCTGAAGGCTGCCTGCGACAGCGTCCCCCGCCTTTTCGGTTGGCGCATCCTGGCTGCCTGCCGCGGTCTGGCGCTGGAAGAGCGACTGCAGCACGTTCTGAGCTGCCACTGGCGCCATGGGAGCATGGCTGTCGTCGGAGAAGCTGGGCAAGGTCGTCATCATCGCGTTGGCGATGACCTGCGCTGCGTCTGCTGCATCAGTAGCATCGCCTGAAGAGGTGCGGGGGAGGGGGGTCGGGTGCCAAGCGGTCACGCCGCTGCGCCTGGATGGAGAGATGATATGAGGGCATGAGAAAAGAAGCAGCATGATCGCCGTCATCGTCACAAGGCAGCGAAGCAACCTTTCCTTGACGCCGCTTCTTCACCACGCGCTTGGACGCCATGGCGTGCGCGGGGGAACTTCCGACGAAGGCAGTCGCCTCGGGAAGCCCTTCAAGTGGCTGCGAACGGGAAGCGTGAACGCGGGAAGCGACCGCGCCGCTGAATTTGCAGAGCAAAGCGGGTAGACCGCTGAGGAGAGGGGAGGCGGGCGAGGACGAGGAGGAGGAGGAGGAAGAGGAAATGCATGCGACAACTGCAAGGCAAAGCGGCTGGGCCCGCTGAGGAGGAGGAGAAGGAGGAGGGGGAGGAGGGAGAGGGCGAGGAGGACGAGGTGGAGGAGGGCCCAAAACATATAGATCACTGATCTGTCTGGTTTCGGCCGCTCTTCCCCCCCCCTCAGGGACCACGCAAAGCAAAGCGGCTGCGCCGCTGAGGAGAACGCGGAAGGGGGGGGGGGGAGGAGGAACTGCGCGCGGCGCCTCCTCGACGGGGGGCGCCACCCTCCGCTACGCTCATGCGGGCGCAGGCGGGGAGCACAGCTCCCGATTCGAAACGCGCGGCGCGCGGATTCACTCAGTGAAGCCGTCGCCGCTGGTTGGCGCGCCTGTCCCTCTCGCCGTCCTGGGCAGCGCGCGCCTGAGCCGCGATCGCCAGGCGCTCGTCGACGAGCTTCGTGGCCGTGTCCGCGTCGACGGTGAGTGGCGCCTCACCTCAGCATCGGTTAGCCTAACAACCCCATGTAGCCCCCCACCAGCCCACCCCCTCCCGCCGCCCCCGACATGGGGATATACACCCCGAACCCCCAGGCATTCCGCCTATATCCCCATGTCGGGGGGTAAATCCCCTAGTGGAGAAAAGGCCACC